AAAGCAGCGGTGGTTGAAGCTTAACCGACCATGCAGTATTCACCGTACTATGTTTCTAATCTTGCTCGAAACCTGTAGTCGTATACGTACTTTTAATTGGCTCGTATCTTGGTTTTGACTGCCGCATTGGGTTGCAGTGACCGACCGTGCTGGCGTATGCATTGTGACTTTGCATTGTGACTTTGCATTAAGTCACAATGCATAAAGCATGCATTGCACATGCTTTATAATATATGATGTTCCGCCCTTCGATCCGGATTTGTGCCAACGACCGCACGCCAGATTGATGCCTGTGCTGTGAATGCATATCTTTGTCTTGGCTACTGAACCAAAATCGCAAAAAATAGCACGAGGTATAGTGTCCTAGAAGTTGATTAAATTATCATGATGACAATGCTGTCTTACTATTACTGGCACGCAGGCACCATAGTGATGGGCCACGTATCGTGTGGTGTTTCGAATGAAGGTATATGATGTGTTATTACTGCCGGCATGCACCCACCGTGGTGATGTGCCATGTAAAGAGTGAAATTTTGAATGAATATTCCTAACTAATAGGGAACAAGAAAAATAAATATATGCATTGAGTAATTTGCTTATATATATATATATATATATATATATATATATATATATATATATATATATATATATATATATATATATATATATATCAACACGACAAGCGTCATCTGCGTGCTTTTCATAAATCCTCTACTTTCATGCGAAATGAGTGAGCGCACTCGCAAACTGTCCGAGAACCTGCTTTTTTTTTTTCTATCTCTCTCTCCGAATCGGTTTCTGTTTTCTGTTGCAGCGCGCTGCAGTAATTTTATCGGATGCCCGGATCACAGGCCCCCCTCTTCGAACAGCTCGGTGGCCCATAGCGTTCTCCTACAGGGAACCGCGGAAGCTTCCCGTACCCATGATCGTAGGAACGCCGCTTCGTGTATTTCCTAGAATGTCTCACGCGGAACGCTTGCATGAACCTCCCTGTCGTCGTCCTTCTCAGGCCGAAATCGCTGCGGCCTGTTCCGCATTGCCGGCGAGCGTGTGACGGCACCGGCTATCCGTGGCCATGTAAGCCCGCGTTGGCCGTTCAAGTTACACTCCATGCGCCACTTCTGCGCAGCGTGCTGTGACACCCGCAGACATCGAGTCGAGCGCGCAAAGGCAAGCGAGCACCGTGACAATGCGACGCTGCGCACGAACATAGCAAGCATGTTGGGAGGCATTTATGCAGGATGGAGGACTAGTAACGTTGCCTACCATCTCCCCTCTAATCGTCGGACTAGTCTGGCACACAAGGGGGAAGAGGGGGGGTGGCAAGTCCGTCTCACACCTTTACATAGTCGAGTCTGCCATGTCTTTTAGGATTCGCTCGCAGGATTTCAAGCTGGACGGTTGTGCCCTCGCGATCTCCGACTTCAGCGTAGCTCCCGCCGACTGGTTCGCCCTCCGCGGTCTCCTGACGCCGTGTAGCTCTCGCATTGTGGCACCCCGCCCTTGGACTGCTTCGACCGGATCCCCACTTTCCTATCTCCTTCTTTTTCCTCTCGTTGGCTGTCTTCTTCTCCGTCTATTTTCCTTCTATTCTTTTTATCCCTCCTTCCCCCCTCCCCTATAAGGCACTGCGCCGTGTCGTCTGAAGGCAGACAGAAATTAGGTGCCTTTTTCCTCTTCATTCTAATCACTACCACCACCATGTCTTTTAAATGCGAAGCATTTCTTAGCGAACTTCGGCGAGTTTGAGCGTATCTATCTATCTAGCCGCCTACGACTTTTAGCTCTCCTGGCCGTTTCGATGATGGTATCGATACCAAACTTGGTATGGCACAACGTGCCTGCATGAAGAACATATTTGACTAGTCATAACATGAAAATCATGACGTGTATGTCATGAATGTCATGATTTACGTTTCATGGACCTGCAGCTCTTGCGATGGTTTCATTCTCATGGCATGTTGCAAAACTGGTATGGTATGACACGATTGCATGGCGAACAGAAGCGACAGATCCTAACATAAAAATCATGACATGCGTGTCATGTAACATGACTAGATGCCACACTCATGGTGCGCTCGTGGCCGTTTCGCTAGCGTCACTCATAGCAAATTTGGTATTAGAGTACGTGAATGGATAGCGAAGGTATATGACTTGTGCAAACATGATAATCATGAGATGTGTGCCATGTAACAACATGATTACATGCCACGCTCACGATGTACTGGCAGCCGTTTCGCTAGCTACACTTACACAAAATTTGGTATTACGAGACGTGAATGGATCACGAAGCTAAGTGACTGATGCAAATATGATAAATATGAGAAACGTGTCATGTAACAACATGACTACATGATCCGATCATGATCCGCTCGCGGCCGTTTCGCCAGCTTCACATGTACCAAACTCGGTATTACGCGACGCGAACGGACGACATAGGTAAATGACGCATCCAAACATGATAATCACGACATGCGTGTCATGTAACAACATGACTACATGCCACACATGATGCACTCGCGGCCGTTTCGCTAGCGTCACATATACCAAATTTGGTATTACGTGACGCCAATGGATGACGAAGGTACGAGACTGTTGCAAACATAATAGTTATCAAATGTGTGTCATGTAAGGAGATGACTACATGCCACAGTCAAGGCGCAAATACATTTCGACATGACGCAGTGAGCGTGCTCGCCGGCGTTCATTTCGTCGCGTCACGCCGGCGTTGCTACGTCAGGCGCCGGTCCTGCCATATACTCGCAGTCGCGTGCCGTGCTACGTTGCTTTGACGCATGCGCGTTTCAGCGCGTCCTGCGTCCCTCCGTCACGAAAAGAGGGAGACGCAGTGTTGTCTGGATAACGCATCGGCATAGAGTAACGCTATTCTATGACATAAGGAAATGCAGCATGTCGCGTTTCTCGCCGGTTGCCGTCGGGCCGCGCCGACGGACGCTGGTCGCGCCTGGCGTCAGAATATGGCGTGCTCGTGTTTTGCTAACGTAGCGTCGCCTGCGCGCGCGCCAACGCTACATTAAAGTATAATGGGCGCTTCATGAGGCGCTCGCGGCCGTTTTGCTAGCTACCCATATACCAAATTGGTATTACGTGACGCCAATGGATGACGAAGGTACGAGACTGTTGCAAACATAATAGTTATCAAATGTGTGTCATGTAAGGAGATGACTACATGCCACAGTCAAGGCGCAAATACATTTCGACATGACGCAGTGAGCGTGCTCGCCGGCGTTCATTTCGTCGCGTCACGCCGGCGTTGCTACGTCAGGCGCCGGTCCTGCCATATACTCGCAGTCGCGTGCCGTGCTACGTTGCTTTGACGCATGCGCGTTTCAGCGCGTCCTGCGTCCCTCCGTCACGAAAAGAGGGAGACGCAGTGTTGTCTGGATAACGCATCGGCATAGAGTAACGCTATTCTATGACATAAGGAAATGCAGCATGTCGCGTTTCTCGCCGGTTGCCGTCGGGCCGCGCCGACGGACGCTGGTCGCGCCTGGCGTCAGAATATGGCGTGCTCGTGTTTTGCTAACGTAGCGTCGCCTGCGCGCGCGCCAACGCTACATTAAAGTATAATGGGCGCTTCATGAGGCGCTCGCGGCCGTTTTGCTAGCTACCCATATACCAAATTTGGTATTACGTTACGTCCTTGGATGACAAAATATATGACTGGTGCAAACATGATAATGCTGACACACCTGTCATGTAAGAACATGACAACTTACCACAATCATAGCGTGCTCACGGCGGTTTCGCTAGCTCTACGTATACTAAATTATTTGGTATCACGTGACGTGAATAGATGACGAAGGTAAACGACGCATCCAAACATGATAATCATGACACGGGAGTCATGTACGACATAATTTACTCTCCACCTCGTAACGTTGTGCTCGGTTTAAAGTGACATATCGACATTTCTCCTTCATGTTTCGCATATCATCGATTTCCACTGCACGTGAGATCTGCCAATTTTTAATATTTTTAACGCGCAATGTTATGGCTACATACGCAGGCTTTTTGATCACCGAAGACCCCTGATGTTGCATACAGAGAACTTTTTTTTACACTCCACCGTTCATCCGGAAAGCTGTCCGCCACGGTGGATCAGTGGTTAAGGCGCTCTGCAGCTGCCCCCGAAGGTCGCGGGGTCGATACAGGCCGCTACGGTCGTCGCATTTCGGCGGAAGGCGAAATGGTAGATCACCGTGTGCTGTGCGCTGTCCGTGATCTTTAAAGAACGCCAGATGGTCGCAATTCTCATAATCGTACCGTGGTTTTGGACATGAAACACCAGATATTATTACTACCGAAAGTGAGGGTCTAATGACAGGCCCTTGTGAGAAGCCTGTCATCGCTCCATTTTTTACGCCCCGCCGTGGTGGTCTAGTGGCTAAGGTACTCGGCTGCTGACCCGCAGGTCGCGGGTTCGAATCCCGGCTGCGGCGGCTGCATTTCCGATGGAGGCGGAAATGTTGTAGACCCCTGTGCTCAGATTTGGGTGCACGTTAAAGAACCCCAGGTGGTAGAAATTCCCGGAGCCTTCCACTACGGAGCCTTCCACTACCAACCAACCATTTTTTACGCTCCTCGGTGGTTTAGTGATTACGGCGCCCGACTGCCGGCCCGAAGGTCGCGGGATTGAATCCCAGCCGCGGCTGCTCCGCAGCATTGTGTCCATTTCATCCAATGTGTGTCCATTTTGTCTCCATTCAAATGACTTCGACGAAGACGAAATGGACACAATTGACAGAATTGTGTCCATTTCCTCCATTGTGTGTCCATTTAAGTAGACCGGGCTTAATGAGACATTCATGTTTGACTGTGTTATTGGGTCCAGTCTACTTAAATATGTGAAATGGGCTACCCCTTCTTGATGTTTGTTTATATTATGGGTGGGAGGGGCGAGTAGTACTGAAGTCTTTGTGCTGTGCGTGTGATGAAGTGTACGTGCTAACCAATTGAATGGTTGTTCTGTGCAGGAACGCCCGTTAACCGGATCCCGATCATGGCGAAGCAGGTTCTCGACCTTTTCGAGCTGTACCGACTGGTCGTGTCACGAGGCGGCCTCGTTGAGGTCATTAACAAGAAGATCTGGCGCGAGATCACCAAGGGGCTCAACCTGCCCTCTTCCATCACTTCAGCCGCCTTCACCCTGCGAACACAGTGAGTCGGCAAATTCACGCTTCACCCCGCCGCGAACGGTGGATTCGTTTGAACTCGCGGTCAAAACGTTTTGTCGAGAATGCTGTTGCGCTGATTTACGAAGTTTTGCGATGGACTTGCAGCACCTTTTCGAATAGCCATGGCATGGATTCACGAAATTAGCTTTTTGCCTTACGAATTCACCGCCGCCAAAAATTTTAGAATCCGTCCAGTACGAGCGGAGTTACAAATATTTGTCACGCTCCAATCGCATTCTTTCATCTCTCGTCCCGATGAAAGCGCCGCAGGCTAGGCAGGGAGGGGGAGGGGTGGCACGGGGAAAGAAAATATGTCTCGCGCGCCTCGTGACCTTGAGCACTTTCATTTTTTTTTTCCTCCGAGTTCGCGTTTGCTCGGTGCGATCACAAGTCGCGCCCTCCCGCGACGGCCCCAGCAACAACTTAGCGTGATGATTGATATGTGGGGTTTAACGTCCCAAAACCACCATATGATTATGAGAGACGCCGTAGTGGAGGGCTCCGGAAATTTCGACCACCTGGGGTTCTTTAACGTGCACCCAAATCTGAGCACACGGGCCTACAACATTTCCGCCTCCATCGGAAATGCAGCCGCCGCAGCCGGGATTTGAACCCGCGACCTGCGGGTCAGTAGCCGAGTACCTTAGCTACTAGACCACCGCGGCGGGGCTACAACTTAGCGTGTCATGCTCAAAATCAGCTTGTGGCTGATGCCAATAGCTGTGGCGACTGATTTTTAAGCATGTACCGCCATTTGTGGAGAATTTTGAATTGAATTTGAGAATTTTTTTTTTTTTGTGAATTCCAGGCTGGGCTTGCTGCGCTATAATATTTGGCTCACCTGTTTTCGGGACCCTCGACTACCGACCGGCGGAGTTTCTGACCCTGTTCGAAAGTTGTTGCAGAGTCCCTTTAATACTGCTGGGGTTACTACTGCATCGCAAGGCTGACATATCGTGACGTTGATCTTCCTTCTGGGCTGCACGGTCCACCCGTTCGGCTTTTTAAAGTTTCCGCTACAACTATTCGAATTCCCCGGCGACGTTGTTGCGGAACGTGGGCGAACACGAGTGATCGCGTAGCGAGTGTGTCGTTCTTTTGGCCGTTCTGTGAAATCCACTGGCACCCGTCGCTGGTTTTATTTGCGTAGGGCGACTCGACCACGCGGGCTGCGTGACTCTTTCGTCCTCGCTAACACCGTCGGACCACGCCCGTGTATGGGACGCGTCGGTGACGTAAATTCTTTTCACCGCGTCCCACCGGGGCTGCGGCACGTGGCGTTAATGTGCGCACCCCCTTTTTTTGCCGACGAAACGAAGAGCAGCTTAATTACAGCCGCCTTCTGGAGCAGAGCAAAACAGACGCTTTGTATGCACAGTAAGCCCCGAATGAAGCTGCTCGCGGATCGAGAGGGTGCATCGGAAGGGTAAAGGAACGGCCAGATATTTATGGACCCCGTAATAGAGCGGGAAGGGAGACTCGACGCAGCGCTATAGCCGGGCCGCGATGCCTGCTCCGATAAAGATTCGCAATCGTGTACGCGCCCCTACGTCGCCGTCTGTTGCGGCCACTTTTATGGTCGTGTATTTATTTCTGGCCGCAAATAAACGGAGCGGCCATTACGGCGGCTGATCCTTCGGCGCATGACTGCGTACGGAATTTCCTAATATCGGCGCGGTTCCGTCGATCGTGCTTGTGCGTCAGCACGCTTTGTTTATTGCGGGCGTGTAACAATGCGCACGCGGATCCGCCGGTTCTATTGCACATGATCTTAAAGGGGAAATGTTTGCTGTGAGAGAGGTTCGCTCACGAGCTGCGCCGCAACATGCTTCCGCTGCATTGCCAAAATCGCCGGGGCCGGAGGTGCACGTGGCGAAATTGTTAACTTCACTCGGATTTTTTCGTGGAGGCGAAGCTCCCTAGGTCGTGTGTAGTGCGTCCGTGATGTATGTGGTAGTAGTAGTAGTATCGGCACCCGGCAATGCAGTTTGCGAAATTTAATAGTAGCGTCAAAACACACAGCTTATAGCTAGTAGGCGCATCAAAACCGAGTCTTCCAATGTGTATCCTAGCGAGTAGACGCAGCGAAACTGGACTTGCACGTGCATATTATTTTATATTTTAGTTGTGAGCAGGGGGGTCACGGCTGAATATGTAATCGTCCAGGAAGCCTTCTTTGCCCCGCCGCGGTGGTCTTGTGCCTAAGTTACTCGGCTGCTGACCCGCAGGGCGCGGGTTCGTATCCCGGCTGCGGCGGCTGCATTTCCGATGGAGGCGGAAATGTTGTAGGCCCGTGTGCTCAGATTTGGGTGCACGTTAAAGAACTTCAGGTGGTCTAAATTTCCGGAGCCCTCCACTACGGCGTCTCTCATAATCATTTAGTGGTTTTGGGACGTTAAACCCCATATATCAATCAATCAGGAAGCCTTCTTTGAAAACGCGCCAAAAAGGGCATCGAAACTTCAGCGTCTCAATGTGTTCAGCGAGAGTTTCATTTGCTTGGTATCCCTGGCAAAATGGTTGATTGGGCGAGTTGGTGATACATGACTAATTATGAAATGGAAGCGCACAACGTAGAAGCAGACGGAAGCTGCCTAGAAGCTGTCTTTCCGTCTGCTTCTACGTTGTGCGCTTCCATTTCATAATTAGTCATGTATCCCTGGCGGTCGGTACCGACAATGCTTAGGCGGTCCAAAAAGCTTCGTCGCGCCCTCTGGTTCACTGTCGGGTGCCTACAGTAGTACGTAGCCACCTCCACGGCCGGACTAGAGGAGTTACCCTTTTCAATTGAGGAGGAAACCCGCGCGCGTTAATCATAAATAAAAAAGTTGCTTACTAAAAAAAAGAAAAAAAAAAGGCTAGTATCAGAAGGACGCACTTTGAGCACTATCTGGCCAGAAAAAGTTGCCACGTTAAACTTGCTGGGCATAACCTCCTGGTTTTAACAAGCTTTAGCAAGGGTTGGGCCGCAGTGCCATGAGTATAGTAAACTAGTATATAGCCGTGAACTAGAGGCGGTGAAAAGTGGGAAGTAGACACGAAGTGCAGGCCATAAGATAGTGCGCGAGTGCCACCTCTGATTTAGTCCTTGGAATGTCCACTGGATGGCGGTACTTTTATATGCTGAATATATGATGAAAAGATGAGAGATGGCGGTACTTAAAGAGTAACATCGTGGGTTTGTGGTAGGACACCTGCTTGCCATGCTAACGGCCGGGTTTGATCCTCAATGAGACCGAAAATTTGGGACTCTCTCGCTGGATTCTGTGCCGAATGGTTGTGCCCCCGCGATCTCGCCGACCGGCTCGCCCTCCGCCATCTCCTGACGCCGTGAAGCTCTCGCTGAGTGGTAGCCCCTCTTCGGACTTCTTCGACCGGGGCCCCACCTTTTTCAATCTTATCTTTACTTCTCACTCTATTCCTTTTAATCCCTCCTAATCCCATTCCTTCGTGAGCCACTGTTGAGGTGTCGAACTCTGATGCAGACTGTGGGGGGCTCACTTTTATAACCACTTCCCCCCTTGGAGTGTTCGCTAGATGGATGGACGGACCAATGGATGGACAGGCAGACAGACATATGCATGAACGGACGCACTGGTGGATGGTCGCACGGACGGACGTATGGACGATCGCACAGACGAACGCTCGGACGGTCGCTTTGCCCCATTCATCATCATGCACTCCGTGGATATGCTGTGATTTTTTTTGAGGGGGTAGGGGGGGGTAGGGGGGCTACGTCACCCTTTATGCATGTTAGTCGTGTGTTTGTATCTCTGCGTGCAAATATACACATGAGAAATTCCAAATTTTCGGGGAGGCGTGGGAAAGGTGCAACAAGCCCCCCCACCCCACCCCCCCCCCCTCCTTTTCCCCAACGCCTGTGCCGATAAGGGCACCGCATCTGCATCTGCGCTTTTCTCAACTCCCGCAGCGCTGAGATCCTCGGTACCAATAGAATTCGATTAGCACTGTTTGCAAGCTAAAGATCTTGACAGAATTACTTGGCCAGTTTTGTTATTCACCATCAAGGTTAACCAGGTGTTCAGGGTCAAAGTTGCGACGAAAACGCGTCTGCTACACGTTGACACGTAAACACATGCGCTGCATCTTGGCCAGTACATTGCAGCTGTCCTTTTATGTCAGCCGCTGAATGGAATTTGGGGTAACTCTATGCTCCCATCGGAATAGTAGCTGTCGCTCCTTCGTGGCTAAAAAACTGCACCACTAACGCGTCGAACGCGAACACTATCGGTAGCTCCGATTTCCGGTAACGCCCATGAAAACAAACGAATACTGTTATAAAAATGGAAAAATGCGAAACGCCGAGTATTAGTACCTGTCTCTGGTTTCGAACGTTATCCTGTTCATGTACATTTTGTAATCAAACTTTCTTTATTTTGACGTACGATATTCTCCGTGTTGCCCGTCTCGATGGACAAATGGCTAGGGTACTTAGCTGCTGACCCACGGGTCGCGGGTTCGAATCCCGGCTGCGGCGGCTGCATTTCCGATGGAGGCGGAAATGTTGTAGGCCCGTGTGCTCCGATTCGGGTGCACGTTAAAGAACCCCAGGTGGTCGAAATTTCCGGAGCCCTCCACTACGGCGTCTCTCATAATCATATGGTGGTTTTGGGACGTTAAACCTCACATGTCAATCAAAATTTATAGTAGCCCCCGTACTGTGCAATGCCAGGGCACGTTAAAAAGCACCAGATGGTCAAAATTTCCGGAGCCCTTCAATACGGCATCTCTCATGATCATACCTTGGTTTCGGGACGTGAAACCCACGCATATTGTTATTATATTCATGATATTCGTCGGAGCTGCCGTTGCTGCTGTTCAGGGCATGAAACGTGGCGCAGGAGGAAAACACTTGCGTATGATAAAAATGTGTGCGGCCGTAAAATGTGTCAATCTTTTCACATTCGAATGTAGTCTAAAGCTTGCACACATCCTGTCAGTGTGGTGTATATACGTTATTGCAAAATGCTCGCGACTGACGCTTTTCTCGTTTCGCCTCTTCCTCGTATAATGTAACGATTCGAGCTAACTCAATTATTTTCGTTTGCCTCTGCTTACCATCTGTATACCGTTCGCGATCCGCGGCGTTGTGTCGCCTGGACCATTGATCAAGGGTAAGGAGGAAAAAAAAAAGATTCAGAATAAAATCCGATTACCCGGACTCTATATGTTCACTACGCCGTCGTTGGTTCTTGCCTCGTTCGCCTGGCTTTTCGTAGCGACGATTCTTTTTTTTATTTCCTCCTACGCACGTGCTTGATTCACGGCTTGTTCGCACAACGACTTTTCCTCGATCATTTGTATCTCTATAAAGCGCAAGAACGAGGTTTGACAGCTACCGCTTTACTTATAATAACCAGCGTACCCTTATTTCATTCTGGGTCTCAATGACGGTGGTGTTCCTTTTGGCTTGTATCAGGCGCGGATGGGTTCTCGGGCACACGCTGATTCTTTTGCATTCATGTCCATGCGCGCGTTTGTGCGGTGTGACGAGATGCGCTTAATTAACGACCTTCTCCGCGGACTTGTCATCGACTTTACATTCCCCCGGTAATCGAATGCCGCCGTCACGTATGCAACACGTGGAAGAGGGTTCTTTTCTGTTCGCACGCTATTTTGCCCAACTAACTGCCGCCATCGAAACGAAGCCTCGCTTTTATTTCCTCTGCTGATTTCATTTCGTAGTGGCAAGGGCAGAAAATACTTTTTAAATGAGGAGCATTTGTTGGCGAACTTCGGCGGCTTTGAGCGTGTCTATCTATCTATCTATCTATCTATCTATCTATCTATCTATCTATCTATCTATCTATCTATCTATCTATCTATCTATCTATCTATCTATCTATCTATCTATCTAATCTAATCTAATCTAGCCGCCTACGACTTAGCTCTCCTGGCCGTTTCGATAATGCTATCGATACCAAACTTTGTATGGCATAACATGACTGAATGAAGAACATATTTGAATGGTCATAACATGAAAATCATGACATGTATCTCGTGAATGTCATGACTTACATTTCATGGTCTTGCTGCTCTTGCGGTAATTTCATTCACATGAGATATCGCGAAACTGATGTGGTATGACATGACTACATGACGAACATACGTGACAGACCATAACGTGGAAGTCATGACATGCATGCATGTAAGTCATGACTACACGCCATACGCTCATGGTGTGCTCGCGGTCGTTTCGCTAGGTTTAATTTTACGTGACATCAATGTATGACGATGGTATATGACTGGTGCAAACATGATAATCATGACATGCGTTTCATGTTAGAACATGAAAATATACCACGCTCATGAGGCGCTCGTGGCCGTGTCGCTAGCTTCACATATACCAAATTTGCTATTACGTCACGTGAATGGAAGACAAAGGTAAATGACATGTCCAAACGTGATAATCATGACATGGAAGTCATTTGCGGCATAATTTACGTCCGCCGCGTAACGTTCTTATGATTTTAAAGTGACGTATCAGCCTTCCTCATTCGTGCTTCGCATATCATCGATTCCCACTGTACGTGGTATCTGCCATTTTTTTCGAATATAACTGCGCCATTCTCGCTATTTCGATTCAATTTTCACTGACAAACAGTAGTGACAAAACTTTTTGCTCACAATTAAACATACTTCAAATCATCTTTTAATAAAGCGTACTCGATTACTTCGTAAGGCAGAATGCAATGACGAAAACTTGCTAACTCAGTGAATGTTGGCATGCCAGAATTGTTTCATATTACTGTGGGAAGAAAAAAAAGAAAAGCTGCTCAGTATTTCAAAAAACCGCCAACTCTGCGCGGAACGTGCACCACTGTCACAGCGAAAGCTGGAAGAGCGGCTTTTCAGAGCCTTCTTTGAACACGCTTTGGGTGGCTGCTGCAAGCACACTCGCAGGGTACCCATCCACTACGCCATTAATCCCTGTGTAGTATGCAGACATTCCCTATGCCATCCTTCGTCATTCTTCCGAGAAGCGTGGTACCTGCTGCACACTTGCAAGAAACTTTGTGCATGTTTTTTTTGTGTATGTGTGCTGTGCCTGTATGTGTGCTGTGCATGAAGCATTATGGCAGAAGCTTTTGCAATCCCCACAATCCCCCATAGTGGGTATGCGCCACAGTTAATGTATGAACAAGATCGAGCTTTTGTAAAGTGTTGGAGCATTAGACGACCCACTCGTTGTGCAATTACCTGGTTGTAATTTTGCTGCTCTGAAGCACTTTATTACTAATATTTACGTGATTCATTTCCCGACGTCAAGCCTGCCTAAGGCCAGTTTGCAACGGAGTTCCAAGCAGCTGTGTGGCGCAGTGCAGAATACTGTGCTGATTATGTGATTCTTAAAGGGAAAAGAAGAAAAAAAGTGAGCCCCGTAACTGTCTGCATCAGAGTGCGACACCTCAACAGTAGCTCACAAGGGATGGGGGTAAGGAGGGATTAAAAGGGAAAGATTAAAAGGTATATATAGAGAGAGGAAGGAGAGAAAGCGAGGCACAGGGACAGCGAGCGGAGGTAAAGAGGAGATAGGAAAGATGGACACGGTCACAGCAGTCCGAGGACGGGGCACCACTCGGCGAGAGCTCTTGTCGGCGTCAGGAGATGGCGTAAGGCTAATCCAGTCGGCCAGAGCTGCGCTGTCGTCGGAGATCGCCGGGGGCACAACCGGTCGGCACGAAGTCCAGCGATCTAGTGCCACGCAGGACACCAAGAACACAGTGGGATTCAAACCCAGGTCTCTGCATGTCAGCCGAGTGTATTACCACTGAGCCACGCCGGTGCTTGGAACTCCTTCGCAAACTGGCCTTAGGCAGGCTTGATGATGGCAAAGGAATTGCGTTAATACGAGTAGTTAAGTGTTTTAGAACAGCAGAGGAACAGCCAGGTGTTACATAATGCGAACTGCACAACGAGGGAGTCGCCCAATGCTCCAACCCATTACACACGCTTGTTCTTTATCACTTATTAACTGTGGCGCATATCCACTTCAGGCATAATAAGTTTGTAGCGGATACCATGCTTCTCCGAAGAACGGAGACGAAAGATAGCATAGTGAGTGCTGGTCAACTACACAAAAATTATGATGGCATAGTGGGTACCCAGCAAGTGCACTTGTAGCAGTTACCCAAACAGTGATTAGGAAATGCTTTGAAAGGCCGCTCTTGCAGCTTTCGCTGTGACTATGCTGCGCGCTGCGTGCAGGTCTGGTAATTTTTTTATTTACTCAGTTTATTTTTCTCATTTCGTGTGATAGGGGTTACGCACACCGGCTGCGGCGTTGGCCGACAACTACGGCGCGCATGCGAACCAAGTTGTGATCTCGTACAGCTTCCACTAAAAGGTGCAGCTTGGAATGGAAAATTGCTAATCGCCTCGTGGTTGGGGAGATAGTTTGTGTGACGAATTGTGGCGCTGTCTTAAAGAGTAAGAAAAAAAAGAAGGTGAGGGGCTCTGGCCTCTACGTACCGTAGAGCAATCGGTTTCTTGTAATATTCGCTCGATTATGTCCTGTTATGCAATGACACTGGCGTAAAAATTGGAACAACGAAAATGGGAAAGCACGTGATTACCTGAACACCTAATTAAAGAAAGTGCAAATGAATGGACGAATGAAAATAACCTTCCCCGTTCCGTAAACGAACGTAATCAGGGCATAAATTTAACGAGCGTAGCTCACGTATGTGTTATTCCTATTTGTTATAGTCGTTCATTGTTCGTCCGCAGTTAAGCATTTCTCAGCAGTTTTCCGCATTGCCTCTTATCTCTAATTATCGAAGGCAATGCTGAGCAACAATTAAGGCATATCAGCGCCCCGTCGCATAGGCTACACACCAAACATTGTCCACGTTTTTCCCACTGCAGCGAAATCAACCACAGGTCCCCGACGTCGGTAGAAAACAAGCTAGCCGTCCCTGGAGCTGCTTGTCGAGTGCTTAAAATAGCACGCCTCGATAGCATTACAAATGTTCATCGGGCAGAGTCACAACAGATATACTTGACAGTATCGTATCTGCCTGCATGCGATGGAAGAATGTCTGCCTTTATCGTGCCACATGCGACACGTATGTGCGTCGGGAATGCCTCTCATTCATTGTTTTTAGTAGCATGGTGTAACCTTGTTTGTCGGTCCTCGACTCTGCGGCCCTTACCCTAGATATCCCTCTCGCTTCCTGTCCGCAGAGCAGACGAGTACGGAAGACGTTCGAACTTATGCGGGGAATGGGCCGCAGTCTCCTTATCGCACGTCCTTCTTGCGGCGCGCTCTCGAGAAGGGTTCGATAAGCGAATCCGGCGTAATTTCAGCGTTCGCTGGCTACCCAGGCATTACACCGCAAGCAGTCGTGGCATCCTGCTCCGTACATTACATTTTTCGTGACTTTCCGCCGTGTTGTGAAATTGACCGTCTTCTCTATTGTGATCGAGTCCGGTGTTAACCGCTGTGATCTGTTGACGATATGGCGTAATTTGGCTATGCCATGAATAGAACTGGCTTTCCGTCCTGAGGACATCAATCTAAGATGCTTGCATGCAGAGGTGCTGAAACACAAAAACAAGAGCAATGACGACGACGTAACATGTCTCCTGCTTAGTTTCGAACTGTAAGCGCTAATAGAATATACATTTAAAATGCCTGTCAATCACATGCGCTGTTAGACGACCAGATGCGAGTGTCAAGACATGATTATCAACCTTTCACATGGGCGCTGCTTATCACCAGGCCGAACTTCGGCACGACCGCTATTACACACTCTAGAACAGGGCACTTCTGGTCTTGCACCAACACGAGTGTTGTCATAGCGTGGATCGAACGCGTTGTCTTCCGTGGGAGTGTAGCAATGTTAGCCATATCTGTCTTTCGCGCAGATACATGAAATACTTGTACCCGTACGAGTGCGAGAAAGAGAAGCTGAGCCAGCCGGACGAGCTGCAGGCGGCCATCGATGGCAACCGGCGCGAAGGACGACGCTCCAGCTACAGCCACTACGCCGAGATGATGTCCACGGCGGCCACGGCGGCGTCCCTGTCGGCATCCCGCGGCAGCAACCACCACACATCGCCCATCAGCCTCGTCTGCCGGCAGGCAAACGGACACGCGCCGTCCTCTGCGCACCACCCCGCGGGAGGGCCTTCATCAGGTCAGTGACGCTTTGGAACGTCCAATTTAAAACAGTATCGCGAAACTTGTCTAAATTAGCATCTGCTCATTTAATGGAACGTGGCCTCCGAAATTGAGCAGTGCGCGGTGTCCACCCTGGTCAGCCTCTGGAACTGTGTAATGTACTGCAGCTAGTGTTATGCTACCGGCGTCCGCGTTCGCAGAGACGCCCTCAAGCCTATACAGCCGATGCTTCATTAAGGAGACGATGCAGAATTTCGACACTTGCGCAGTGGCGCTGAAGTTCTTACAAATAACAGCTTTGTGGAAGCCATGAAGATTAGCGCGTAGGGCAAAGTTCATGGCCAGTGCATGGAATTTGTAAGGTGCCCCCTCATTCTGGAACTAGATGTTAGGTGGCCATCGAGGGACGTCTTTACAACTTTAGAACGACACATGGGCGCATGTGCTGCATGGTCAACAGCATCACTGAGCAGTGTGCGGCAGGAAAACACTAGGGAAAAGCTGGTTAACCTCCCTACGTACTTTCCATCTCTGCCATTTGTTCTCTCTCTGTACTTAATGACCCGGCCTAAGCACACATTGAATGTTTTCGTGCTCCACAGGCCATTCAACCTTCGAAGCATAGATGTAGGTTGAAATGACTCTATATCGCCCATACAGGCCCTCGTGCACTCATTATGTCGGGGATCCTCTGACGTGTGACAATAGGGAGTTTTAGTGCTGGGTACCCAAGCGGCTTGCGTACGGAGGACGTTGGAGTGGCGGTATTGCGCATGCGCGAAACCCCAAACAGATGCGTCGCAAGATCGCTGGGCCGATGGGGCCATGCGTCCGCGCGGTCCACCTTCGCAAGAAGTCACGGTATCCGGACTGCGTATACTCTAGCCGTCGAGTTAAAATAAGCCAAAGTGCGAGCACTTATAGCGATTACACGGTTTCAGCCAGATTTCCAAAGCTAGAATGGCCTGGAACATAGAAACTAAAAAAAACATATGCCAGCCCCCGACTAGCTGAATAGGTGGCGCCATCTAGCGCGGACATAGTGAAACGGACAACCACAACTTTGTCATTGCAGAAACATTGTGCATTGTACATCTGGTGCAAAAACTGTGCTGCGACAATATTACAAATCTTTTTATTCATTTTCACCTCAAAAACATTACGCGTAAACTAACATGTTCATGACTGCGGTTGCACGAAGTGTCACAAGATGTCGACACTGTCCTTACAGTAAACTTGTATTTTTCACTTTTTTGCGTATACCAGATTACTGTACACAACAAAAAAAAAAAAGTGTCCTGATCACTATGTGTGTTTAATTTAACATTTAAATCATAAAAAGACTTAAATAATACTTACGCGACAAGACGCTATGGCTCTGCGAGCGCGTGTAAACTTCGTGCGGCTTGCGTTTGCGTGCGTGCCCCCGTGGCGCCAACTAAAAGGCATTCCGGTTGGGTTGGGCACACAACGCTCCCAAGCCCGCATCGCCCCAAGAGAATGCATACCCAGCACTAATACTCCCTAATTTCTGGCCATCCGCATTGTTGCGAACGCAGTGGAAGCGCATTTGTCGTTTTGGCACCGTCTTGGCCACATGCCGAAATGGCCTCAACGTTGGGCCGGTAATCTATACGTCATTCGAGGAAGTACAGGAACATTGTATATAAGATTTACTACCCCCCCCCCCCTTCTTTTTTTCTTCATTAATTCGAGTCCCGAGACATTTGCATCACACGTCTGCGGTGAGAGAAAGCAGGCTTTAGATAGCATACCTGTGATGCGCTGCCGGTCGTTGGCCTAACTTTACGATGTCATTGCATGCTAAAGAACACCACAGGGTCAAAATTTCCGGAGCTATCCACTACGGCGTGCCTAAATATCATATTGGTGTTTTTGACACGTTAAACCCCAGAAATTATTTACAAACACACGCCCGAACGCACTTGAAGGGTGTTGGACCAACTCCAAATAAATTTCTAGCTACGCCCCTGTTGCCGCCGTGCAAACGTTCGTGATGTTTCTAGTGTTTATTCATTGCAATTTTTTACCACTTGCTAGCTGGCGTGGCCACCCTTCTGGCAGATGCTTAGTGTAGATGAAGCTAAACGGAATGGTAGGGTTCTATGGAAAGATTGTCAAGAGCGCATTAGCAGCTGTGTGAAGTCAGCTTTAGCGAGCGCGATATGGACGAAGCGCAGGAGCTGCTGGACACGCCGAGCGCGAAACAGTGCCGATCCCGATACTGGACGCAATTATACGTGCCAGTGGCGAAAGGAAAGTATGGCAGTGCAAGTCCAAAGTTGATTTAAGACAGCGTCCAAGCGAGGAGAATGAGAAGGAAAGTAACGCTTGAATCCAAATGGTCACGGTAGAAGGAACGAACATGACTCCATTTAAATGGAAATGAACTCTGTCATCGTAGCTGCGGCCGTTTCGGTCCACGGGCGCTGGAAGCACGGTGTAAGCGTTCTCCCTGATTGATGATTTTGCCGCGCCGCTATGCGAGTGGGACGCGTGGCGCCGTCTTTTGGTGATGGCCGTAACTGGCGTGATAGAGCAACAGCTCGTCCGCCTGACGCGGGTCGCTTGTACGCCTCTCGCAGCCGTTTTAGGCGCTGCCGTTCGATTATTTATACCGATGGCGCACACTCGCAGCCAGATTCGGATTGGAATGTTAATCGAACGGAACCGCTGTTATGTCCAGAGCGCGCTTCAGTAAATCTTTCGCGCACAGGCGAAAAGAGAAAGGAGACCAGGATAAGTGGGCGGTTTGAAGAACGGGGCGGGTTTTCTGGGAGGCGAAGGGTACGTGCGTACTACGCCGCCGAGTTAATCGGGTTGGCCGTGGCGAGGCTTGAGGAGAGCGGATTGTTTATTGAATAAGCGTATTCACGCGCTGTGGCTCTCTACCTGGCTAGACAGGTCACGATATTAGATTACTGCGACTGTGCCCCTGAGTTCACGCGGGTCTTCGTCGCTGACGTCGTATCTGCAGGAAAGTGCGGCTGTCGAGTAATTGGGAACGACTCCTCCGTAGGGGCGTTTGACTTTCCCTTCTCCTTTCGCTCGGTGAACTGATTGATCGTGTTTTGATCCGTGGCCAACTTTGCTCCCGTCATCTTGTGTCACCGATTACTCTGCGTTGCATACATCGGCATATATAGCTTTATTTCCTTTCGGTCGGCAATTGTATGCACAAGGAGGACGTAATAACCTCGCCTCACAGAAGTGCACGCTTCGTTTATCTAGGCCTGTTTATGCAGGTGGCCAAACGTGTGCAGGTTATCATAGCTGGAAGCCAAAACGTGCTGCTTGCCCTTAAGGCACCGAAAATTTATTTACATTCCTGGAGAGCATAACTTTTCTTCGATTTTTTTTTTTTGCAGCACGCATACTGTAAGATCTTTTTTTATCACACTTTCCACGCATTTAAATATACTTACAGGCGTGTACCAATGGAAAATGTGTCTGAATATCCTGCCTGTATTCCTCCCCCTTGAAGTTCTTATTTATTTATTCATTCATTTATTTATGTTTATTTATCTTTTGTACAGTCTATCATAATAACAACAATCATCTGTTGATCCCACCTGTAGCAGTTGAAGGGACATTTCATTTTGAATTAAATTTAACCATAATGCTAAAAAACTTTAAATAACAGTGTATGAGATGCAAAAATCATGCAGCAACTACACTTTCTCATTTTCCTCATTCTTCTTGAAGATTGCAGCTTTTTGCACACCGGTGTCTGCAGAAAGTGCCAGTTTATACTTAAAATGTTAGTGTACTAAATTATACTAGATAAAGTTTATCAGCAGTACTGAAGGATCCAGTGAAAAACAATAACTGCATGACAAGCCACGTCCATAAACAGACTTGTTTTATGTGTTTATTGGAATCTGAACTGACTATGCATTGAGGAAAGCACACAAAATAAATGTCAATGTTGTCTTCAAGGTATGCAAGCTTATTTATACAAAAATTCCTTCCAGCAGTACACATGACTAGAACAAAATGCACCCAGTCATTGCTGCATCAGCAATGTCACCGTACATTACCAAGCACTCTAGAGAAAAGAGAAAAACTTGGTTATACAAGGACACTTTATTTTTCCACTCAGAATTACTGGATTGCACTCGGCATACAAAGCGATGACCTATGACACATCTATCTGTAGGCCTCCCCCCCCCCCTCACACACACGCGCACACACACACACACCCCTTGGCAACCATTTCTGCTGAGTGGAAGACGTTCCTCAAAGGAAAAAAGAAATTACATGTGTGACCTTTCATGTTGAATTAACATGGATGCGTGTATACAAAAGCGTATTGAAACAACCTTCTGACATATCAATTGTGCAAGTCAGCATTTGAAGCTGTTTGGTGCATTAGGTGTGTCACTTTGCAACGACCTATTTGTTGGAGTAAGTGAACAATTCTACTTGACAAAGTTGGCAAAAGTATGAGATCCATTCATTGATGAAGTTTGTCATGTATTGTCAGGCACATGTTCAATGTGAAGCTTATATTGCCTTGTAATAATAAAAGGGACTGACAACTGCCCAGAGCATGAAATGAGATGACTGTGCGGATGGAAAGATTTTCCCTCACAGTGTCTCAAATCGACCAAAATTTTCTCGTGAAAATTGGAGTTATATTTTTATTTGTTCACTGAAAATTGCGAAAATAGCCTGTGGCGCCACCTGGTGGCAGAAACTTCAATTATCCAAGCTGCCCTGTCATGTGACCATAAACTAGTGTACACGGTCAACACATCTCCTGTTAGTATTGAAATATTATTTGCTGCTTTATAGTAAAAGATATTACTCCATGAAAAAGTACTTATAGGCTTGCGCTTGTAGTGTGCAATGAAGTGGCACTACCTTTGCATGACATAATGATCATGGGCTCATCAGCACGTCTTGAGCAACTTTTTTACTCATGAAAACGGCACGCAACTCATGAAACCGGGCATGCAGTTTTCAAGTCGCTATGATTTTGGAGTGACGAGGTTTTTTTACCTACAATTTTTTCAGAAATGACGCGCAGTTAGATTTTCGGTGACTTGACTTGGCTCGTGTGTCGAGAGAGTAACAACGACGGGACAACCATCCACAACACAGGCACATCAAACTTTGGCGCAGGCGCACGCAACGCGGTACAAATACAGGGAAGCTGTATAATACCCCTGTCACACGGCCACCACTGAACTCTGTTAAACTCCGTCAACGTAAATTTCCCATAGGGAGTTCGACCGAGATTGAGTTGTGGGAGTGTCACACGGCAATGACAAAGTTGTCATAGTTGCCGCTAGGGGGCTCAGTCAGCGCTGTTGGATTTTCGCAGAAGTATCCTCATTTCATCTCTAGATGCTTTTTTTGTGGATCTTCGTTATGCCGTTTTTACAAAAACACAATAATGAGTAGGTCTAAAGCAAACAAAAATTGAAATTATTTCAAATGGAAACGCATTCGCTAAATGTAGCGATGCTGGCAGCGACGCTGGCCACCTTGTGCCCAATGCAATGTTTGTTTGCATTGCGCCGTTCTCCACGAATAATTGTTTTTGTAGCCCTTGAAATACGTCGGGTCCCATTACTTATTCTTACAGCCGTCAAAGCAGGTGACGATAATGCAGCGCTGCCAGTCATTCCTTTCACGATTAAACTTAAACACGGCAACAACAACCGCACGCATGGACGAAATATCTTTAAATGGCGGCGCCCGACCTGACTGCCGAGGCACGGTGTGGAGGGCATTGGTGTGGAGAATAGCTGCGCTCAGCGAGCGTATATATATATGTAAACAAACATGTTACAAATGAGTACTGCAACAAAAAAACGTTTAATAATATCGAAATGTATTATTGTACTCACTGTGGCAATTTTCATGCTCGAAATTTTTTTATTATCTTCAGATACTGGGGACAAGAGTACCCCGTTCCGCTGCAAAGGGAGATCGTTGAACGCCCTTTGCAAAATGTGCCTTTTTACCTTCATTTGCGTAAGGGTGGCCGTGTGACACAGACCTCATCTTCTTTGTTGTAAGGACGAGGGAGTTACAGGGTGTTTGCGGATGCCCGTGTGACAGGTTTATGGAGCCACATTGTCTCATTGTAACGACTTGTTATTTTCAAAAATAGGTTAAAGCTAAGAAAAAACGTTATTAGGCATAGTTGCAGGAATTCCTGGGAAAGCAGAACAATTACAGCATGCACAAGTCGTTAGATGGGCTACCGGCATTGCTATCAATTCTCAGCGTTGCTGGACTAAAAGGCACGTCAGCGTTCAGAGCCTTTCAAATAAAAAAATACAGATTATAAAATAACTACGTGCTTTTGGGAGCAGCTACTACAGCTGTGAACACTGTGAAGGGTAAGCTTTCAGTCGCGCCGCTAAAAACTGGGTCGTAAAAAAATTGGTTGTTGGTCCCTTTAAAGCGAAATAGAACTTGGGGTTGCTTTGCTAGGTCTGCCATGGTGAATAACTAAGATCAGAAACTCGCCTTTTGTTGTAATGGGTCTGTTTGCCTTGTAGGCTAGCGAAACTTCGCATGAATTTATTCCTGCAATACGTAGGATATGTATGACTTTTGTTCTTAATTCATTTATTAGTTAGTTAATCTGAAAACATGCTCAGATTTGAACGTTGTCTTGAAGCAGGTGCTATTGAACAACACTAGGGTTAAAAGAGTTCATCAGTACAACAGGTGATGCCTGTCACTGCTAGTGAAGCACATGTGACTTCAGACAGACTGTACTTAAATCTTTTTACTCATGCAGTATAGCTGTATATATTGCTTTCTATTTTACTTTGCTTAGGTCACTTCCTTAATATGTTATAACAGTTACTTAAAACATGTATTCTTGGCATAAAATGCATTAATTTGCTTGTAAAGGAGGAATACTTCAATAATAGCTGCACATTCATATTGGCATATTTATGCCTTTTTATCTGGACGTTGGTTGATATCTGGAGTCTTCTGGATGTTCTGGCTTTTTATTTGGCGGCTGGTGGTTGAATCTAGCCATTTCATTTTGGCATAATACTTAATCAGAGTTTTTAATTGCATTCTTAAATGTACATAAAATTCGCCTCTTTACTGTACTCTTTAACTTCACTATTCTGTTAATTTTTGTTATTCTATCATCACGGAAGTGCCAGAACATAATGCAAACATTTGGTTTACCCTGTTTGGATTCGGCAGCTGCGTTTAGTTAGCAAATCTGGGATCAAATGCGTTGCTTTATTACAACAGAAATTTAACTACTTTCAGGGGATGAAGAGAACAGCCTGTCACTGTATGTGCCACAGCAAGAGGCCTTGAATCTGGAGGTTCCACGTGGTGGGAGCGCAGACCACAAAGTTATAGACCCACGAAGGCTTCTTAGTGAATCGCTGGGTCCACCGCCTCCTAAGCGATTTATTCCTTCAGACGAGGACCACCTTCTCGCCCAGTCTATGCATACAACACACATCAAGATGAACAGTAGAGGTGTGTGCTCTTTCGGGCTTGTGCATGAATGATCACATACACCATGTCAAATGACATGCATTTGGCTCCAGCTTCCAGTGATTCACATTTTATGCACCTTCATTTCCTTCATTCTAATTACTTGCCTTATGTTGGTTAAATTAGGATTTCCACATTTTCTATGGCTGTAATTAACAAAAAAGGCTTATTTTACAATCTTCACTCTGGTGAAAACACTACTGATTGTGAAAGATCCTTTTTTTCTGCAAAGCTGCTGGCAGTTATGAACAGCAGTGAAATGGATGAATATAAATTGTGAAATTGTGCTCCAGTGCATGCTCGACCAACATGAAGTTTAAATTTAAAACCAGCCGTGTAGATAGCATACCAGCTTAATGCATCCTGCGCAGCAGGTGTCCAACTAAGTTCACGGTGACAAACTCGACAACAAAAATGCAGCGTTGGATAGTGGTGCACAAATGTTGCAGGTGCAGAACATGCCATCGGCACGGTTGTGCTTTGCATGGCCTCCCAGACAGCGGGCGCGAGGTGTAGAAACATGCCATGCGCCCGTTGTTTGTTTTTTGCTTTGTTTTCTTGCCGCTGTGCTTGCGTGGTGCTATAAGCAAGGACTGTTTCTCCTGCATTCGACAGATGTCGCTGTGACTCAAAAGACGCTGACTTCTAAATTTTGATTGACGTCATTTGAGGTGATGCTGCTCGCAAATGTTTGATATGGTAGTTAAACTATCTTATAACTTTTATTGCGTCATTATTTTGTGATATAATGGCTTGATTTACCGTTGTTTCTAATGCTAACGGCACTGGCTATTATGCCATAATGAAATAATAGATTCATTAAAATGTATTTTTTTCTCTGTGCAAGGACCAAGGTAGGGGTGGGTCCATTATGCGAGTGGGTTCATGAGACGAGTAAATACGGTATTCAATGCAATTCATCAATAGGCATGTGTGTTCAACTATCCAACACATTGAAAGCCAGAAGTTAGCCGTGGAACTGGACTCGCTTGTTGTTTGCAATAGAAAAATGTGGCGAAAATTCTTTATCCGAAAGCTTTTTTTATTACTGCTGCAAAGTTTCCTCCTTTTCTTAATCACCATCGTCATTGTTAATTACATATAAGGGCAATATGTTTAAATAAGAAGGCAGGAATGTCAACCAGCTTGTGCAGGTTTGTAAGGGGCTGTCCTAGTCAAACAGATGACTTCTATATCAGTGAATGACTATGTAAAAAATGACCCTGTATCTGCATCTTTCACTGCAAATGTCATTGAAAGATGATAGTCTTGCGTCTGGAGAGAGTTAACAAAATGTTTATTTGATGTACTGCACAAGAAAATTGGTGAATTGTATTCTAGAGGCGCTGCGTTATAGGGTCTCAATTCGTCCAGCGAAGGCCAACAAGCGCATCGAGGCACGTTAGACACGAGTGCTATCTGGCAGTTATTTTCGAAAGTGAAGGAAGGCGTGCACTCCTGCCTCGGAGGCGATAAGGTGTAGAACGCAAAGCGACGGACAGGTGCCACTACCTTGTAGTCTTAGCAAAGCTTTGGAAACACTTACCTTCTTGAGCGTCCCGTTGTATTGTCAGCAGAGCGTGATAAACGCTACAGTCCTTAGAATCACTTATGTATGCTTTCTCCAGTATAAAGACACACATACAAAATATTGATGTGTTGTGATGGTGCCTCAGATATGCACAATAATCGCTTTTTATTTGACAATCGCACAAGTATGAATGCTGATACTTGAGCAATATTGATGGACAATGCGGATGGGGTTTGTTGCTTGGCGTGTCGTTTGAGGTATCGTTACGGGTGGACAAACAGACAAATGTACAAACATACATACATACATACATACATACAGACAGACAGACCAATATTTTTGCGTCGAAGTACCTCAAGAAAGACCTATCGTCATTAAATGTACTAGTAATAGTGAGTGTTTCTGTCTCCAGCTTAGTCAAATAGCTTGCAGCATAAAACTTACACTTGTAAGCTGCTGTAGACGTTTATTTTTTATATTACTTTAGTGGATGACTAGCACGTGTGGAGCTAGGCTATCGAGCCTAGTTCTTCAAGTGCACAGAAGTTATTTATTATGTTACTTTTTAGTGGGACTGTTAAAAATACACTCAAACCTCAATATAACGAATCCAGTTGTTACAAAATATAGCTTATAACGAAGTAAATGAATAGTCTTACAATAGATGTAGTGTTTGGCGAAGAAATTTTAGAACAAACTTATTTTCGTGTAAGATGTAACTTCGTTATAATTGAGGTCCCAGTGTACATGTTTACAATAAATGGCAGTGCACACTGTGTTAAGACACAAACATGAAACATGAAAAGGACGATACAAGTGCTTGTGTCGTCCTTTTTATGTTTTGTGTTTGTGTTTTAACCTGGTATGAGCATCCAACTAGCCACAAGTACATTTTAAGCAGTGTATCATCCGAAATGTAAGGCTGCTATATTTGTGAGAAGATAACTCCTCAGAATATTCGAAGCTTGTTGCAGCAGTCTCATTGTGCCTTGCACATACACATATTCTATAGCCACGCTGCAAAAAGTGAGGTCAACTTTGTGTCCAAGTAAAACGAGGGATTTTTTTATAAATGAAGGTTAGGTTTGCAGCAAGAGAAGAGATGCATACTGCACAAATGTCAGTTCTCTGGCCCACTTCTAACTTATCTGTGTCTGGACGCCTCATTTTCTGTCAAAATAAATTTTTACCAACTATACCTGAGCTTTCTGTTATTCTGAAAACCTGTCACGGTGGTCTAGTGACTAATGCCCCTGACACACGGGGCACCCTGAAGTCCTTTAGACAAGGGGACATCTTTCGGAAAGGCGTTCGGGCACAGTGACACACGACAAAGGAGTAACTCCTTTCTGGCAAAGGTCCTTTTCGCAAAAGCAGATCCCGCATCTACTTTTCTGGCAGGAAGGGAGTACTCTCGCATACAGTGTGCATAATTTATCAATAGAAGAAAACGTGTCGCAACACTGCGGTGCCCTTTCAGTATTTTTTTGTGCTGAGAAAATGTTTTCATTTTCAGCAGCAGTGCGATTTGTTCAAAAGTGAAGGCCTATGGTCTGTCCATACTCTCAAACGCCTGCATTACGTCACTAGCGCGGTCATGTTAGGGTTGGCAGCGGCAGTTGCTGTGTCGGGCTCACTCGAAAACACTGCTTAAAGTCGCCGTCGCCTGATAACGGCAATGTGTCTTCGAACCAGCGATCGTTGCGCACATAGGCCGAACTTTCGTGGTTGATGGCTCGAGGGTACAGTGCGGAAGCAGTCAAAATGAAGCCGTTCATGACGAGTCTTTGTTTGAGGCTCATCACTCTTGCCTTCGCAGCGTTTAGCTCATCTTCGATGGAGCCGAGGGGGACAAAAGTCAGGCCCACCTCAACTGTTGCTTTATCTCTGTCTCTGCGCTGAGACATCGCAGGACCACGATGAAACGCGGCACGCCGTCACTGACCCAGCTGGACGCAGCCGCGTAAAAAGCACTACAAAAAAACAAAAACAGCAAAACACCGACTGTTCATAGTTGCCAGACGAACTTAAGTTGCTGCTAAAGACGAAAAACGCGAAAGAAAATTACAGGTATGCGCATTATAAGCCACCAGACAATAAAAAAAACAGTTTTATGCTCCGGCGTCGCTGAATGTGATGTACATGCGCAGATTCTTTTTAATATTTCCAATCTTGCTGCTTCCACAAACAGCGTCATTTTTTCTGCAGTGTTCTTCTCAGGCACCGCCTAAAGCAGTAGTCCGGTGCCGTGTGCCATCAGCGCCACTCCTTTCTGCAAATGGTCCCCTTAGGCGACAAAAGGGGTTTACTTCAAAGTACTTTACTTTTGCTTGTGTGTCACGGGTATGATCCGTAGACAGTTGCGTCGAATCGCAGCCACGGCAGCCGCATTTTCGAAGGAGGTGAAAATGCCTGAAGCCTGTTTGCTTAGATTTAAGTGAAGGTTGAAGAACCACAGGTAGTTGAAATTTTCGGAGCCCTGCAATATGGTACATAATCATATGGTGGTTTTGGGACGTTCAACGCCAACAATTATTATCATCAAACTATTATTATTATTATTATTATTATTATTATTATTATTATTATTATTATTATTATTATTATGTTACCCCGAGTAAACCAAAGAGCCATGTTGGCAGCATGGCCTGCATCTACAGCACAGGGCCCATTGGCCAGCCCTAAAGTTGTTTGTAGCACCTTGTCACCACCACCTCAAGTTGTGTTAATATGCACAAGTTTATATTATATTATACTATATTACATTATACTATATTACACCATTGTGTTATATAGAGCAAGATCATTTTTGATCGACAGAAAGGCAACTTAGACAAGCATTGCATTATTTAAGTTACAACATTGTATTGTAGTATCTTCATGTCCAGTGTTTTGATATTCAGCTAGAATTTGGTTCTGTGCTGAAGCTTATGTGTCTAAATCTTGCGTACTAATTTGAAATATGAGGGCATAATGTAAACAAGGCGTTACTAAGGCATGGACAAGTGCTTATCTGTACCTTAGTTGGTTATTGTCTACATACACACTCGGATTTTAGGTAATGATGAATAACCAACTTGCCCAATAAGCTATTTTGACAAGTTATGAGCCATAGTGTTCAAGAGAGAGAGAGAAAGATAGGAAAGCAAGTACAAAGAAAGACAGTAAATATGTTTTTGTGTCTTCAGTGCTTGACTTAAAGTTCCTATGCAATTTGATGCAGGTGATGGTCGAGGCCAGGCGGACAACTCCATGACTGTGACCATGGAAGTCAACGGCATCATCTACCACGGAGTCCTATACCCCCAGACACACAGAAACAGGCTCTCCTAGGTTGCACACTTGCTTGCATCAATGCTGGACTCTTCCGGAGGCAGCCTGTCGAACAAAACATTTACAAATGAAATGTGAGTGCACCAAGGACGGGCGACGGAGAACTCCTGCCTGTCCTGACGATGGCAATGCTGATCTCCACTGCAAGCCACCATGTTGTTGTGTGCTGTTATCTCTTCCGCCTCAGTTCTGCCCTGTGCACACTGACAGCCCACTTGTTGGAATGTTTTGCATTGATTGTATGTGTGTGTGTGTGTGTTTGAATGTATATGGTTGTCAAAGTGCACTCGCTCATGATAGCAGTGCACTCCTTAGGTCTTTTTCTCTTTGTTCCAACTCAATGTACTCTAAATATTCACTCTTGTTCATAGTCTGATACAGTTCTATAAGTCAGCGCCACTTCCACCTCAAAGGCAGATGCACACAAGCCCGCAACAATCAGCGCACGGCTTGAATTCATGTCATAAGACAATCTGTGACCCTGCGGTCAGAGAGCATGGCTGAATACATAAGAGGGACTGACTGTTTAGTCGCAAGGGCAATCAGCTGGCACACTTTGGTCACCTAAGCTGGGCAGAGCCTCTCTTGCCTTCTTAAGTTGTTTCCAGCTAAAACTTTCTTCATGTGAAACTTTTTTTGTTCATCATACTTTCTGTTTAGCTAATGTGCACTTTACACAACTTCTGATTGGTATCTAGTGCATTTTCTCTGCTGTGTCACGGCGTCATCTCTTCCACTGTTGAAGAAATTCATACTTTGTTGCTGCCGGCTTGCTCCTTCATTATTCTTCATGCATTTGTACTGTGAGCTGCATTTAAAAAAAATCTAACCACTTTTTAAGGAACCACAGCACTTATCATTGCTTCATTGTCAATCAATTTTTAAAATATATAAATAAAAGAAAATTTGATTGGTCTTCATGATTTGATTACAAGACACTTTTAATTGTTTTAGCCTATCTTATCTCCTAATTTAGTTAATGACCCATGTCAATGAGCATCAATAATTCTGAAGGCACCTATATAATAGAAGGCTGGAATGAACATTTCGATTTTTGCTTAATTAATCAAGCACACATACTTGACTGTTACTTTGTTTATTTATTTGAATCAAGAAGTAGTTTTATGACAATTTCAAATGCGAGATGAAAGCACAGGTCTTAATGTGTTTCTTCAATAAAAACAACTTCTCTCAACTTTCTGGTGTAGGCCTGTTGGAGGTTCCAAAAATTAGTGAAACCACAAGATTCCTCTTCATGACTCCAATGAGCCTTCTTTTATTCTGCAGTGTTCTGTGTCACTTATTAAGCTTTTGAGGAATGCCATTGCTGCCCTGACAAAGACCAGTCCTCTTGGGGTAGCATTTGCTCCTGCGACATTTGCTCTTGCGAAAAACATCAAGTGACAAAATGAAAAGGCATGTCGTTTTAATGTACAGCAAGCTTCTCGAATTCTCGATGGTTGTTTGTGCTTTTATCTAGTTGCCCCTTTCCATGGAGGGGCAACTAGAGGAAATTAGCTAGAGTTGAACCCCTTTAAAGAGACATTGATGTAACAGATGATTGGGTATAAAGAACACCAGTGTCCTTGCAACAAAATCGGGTTTGATTCGAAACTGCATGTACATGGTACCCTGCTTATAAGAAAAACCTCATATACGTAAACGAGAAATGCTCGCTGGTGCACGTCTAATACAAAAGGGTTCAGCAGCATATTGTATCAAAAGTGTATTTCCAAAAGTGCAATATATAGATGGCAATAGATGTTTTTCATGCGTGCTCAGACTTTCTGAGAATAGGACCCAGTTCACATGCTGCATTACACAAGTAGTTCTTCAAGCTGTTAGCCTTCTTCTCGGCATTATGCAACTATGTATTGCAGTGAAGCTTACTAAAGCTTTGTCATCGTTATGGAGTGCAAGTATTTGCCAAACAGTGTTGTTTTGTCACCAAGAACAAAACTACTAAATGATGTACTTATTTTTTACCATGCTTCCTCGACTGGTTGCATTTCAGCAGTACTAATGCGCCGTATTGGCTGTTCTATGTCTGAATTTTGAATTTCAGATCGGGACGAATTCGAGCTTTCCTTCTTTTATGACAGCTTTGTTTTCAAGAAAATACATAGTATGGATTTTTATATTGCTTCGTGCAAAAAAATGGACAAATTGTTTCTTGATTGTTTCTTTACCTTGAAGGATTTCTCAGAAGTGATTTTACCGTACTTCAAAGTTTTATGCAATGGCTTGTGCACATTACATCATCATTTCTTTCAATATTTGTGGCTGAAAACGTACGTTTGCCTGGTGTTCTTACGTCTGACTGCATGCACTACATCTTACACTTTAACTTCCAACTTCATGTGGTAGACTTCAGTTAGTTTGACCCTAAATGAATGGATGAAATACAGTGGACTTGGGATAATTTTAACTTGGTCGACACTCCTTGTTGTTAATCTTGGTTATCATGCTTGCAGTGATAAATACATCAGGCTGACTTGTTATGTTTTCAATAGATTTAAAAGCTGCTCAAAGCAAACTTCATTATTTGATTAAACTTGTTGATTAATCAGATGAATACTTTTTGCTTGTCTATACCTGAATTATTAACACTCTTTTTTACTTCCAGCTAAACATTTGCACTCAAAAATTATTAATGCAGCTGGAAATAAAGTATTCCTTGCTTGCTTTTGCCAAAGCATTCAAAACATCGAGCAAAAAGATAAAAAAAAAAAGAGGGAGTAAAAACATTGCGATGGCAGTTTGGCACTTGAAGATTGGACATATCTGCTTTTCCCGATATGTTTTACGTCTTTGTGCTAACTTCTTATAATTTCATCGCACAGCCTACTTTTTTGCCTTCCTTGACTACACATCTGAGTCCTTGGCAAGCATAGTGTAGCTCTAGTAGACTGCCGGTACTAATCCGTTTACATTGGGGCATACCAACCTCAACAGACTAGCATATGGCATTGTGCTGCTTAGCACGAGGTCGTGAAATAAAATTACATCTACATTTCAATGTGGATCAAGTGAAACAATGTGTCTTTACCAGGTGTATGATGCAATCAAAAAAGGCCATTTGACCACAATTCCCGTGTTGTGTCCCTCTATGGCATGTTTAATAATTATATTGTGAATTCAGCACGTAAGATCTCGTAATTTAATTTATGATCGTTAAAAACAGCATCACATAAAGAAAAGCAACTGGACGAAGAAGACAATGCAGGATGAATGCTGACTTTACACAATAGCATTCAAGCATGATGTACAAAGCTATTCAAAGCATGTCCCCTCTGTTGTGCATTGAAGTTCAGCCAGACGAGCTATTTATATCTACTACCCGGAGAAGATACCAGATTGAGTATATTGTTGCCTATATCTTCCTTTGCTCGTGCAATGTTGGCGTACTTGTTCATTTACTATTGCTTTGAATAACCTTCCCTTCTGGGCTGTTAAAGCGTTCCTTGTCATCTTGTTTCTTGTTTCCTGTAGATTTATGTTTCTTCATTTGCCTTGCAATCTTCTTGTGGCCAGCGGAAAGGTCAACATATTCGATTTTGTTTTCCTATTCCCACTTTATTTGCCAAATGTGCTTTATTGGTTCTCCTTCAGTATGAGCGTTTTTGGGAGTTGCAGCAGTGAAGTCCAGTCATCTTATGAAAATTTCTGTAGCTTTGTATAAGCCCTCTGAAGTGAAAGCTTTTTGGCCAATTTAGGTTATAGTGTTAAGAATTTTATGGTTGGGAATGTTGAGCATAATAATGGACCTTCTTCACTGTGGAAAACCCCCTCTAGTGGTAGGCACCAACAACACAGCAGGCTGGGGTCATGGCGGTACAGCTTTATGGGTACGGCCACAGGTATTTTTTCGTGATGAGCATGTGGCTAGTTTTGTGAGCTTTTGCACTTCCCCTGTGTGCATATTACGGGCTCCTGTTAGTTTTAAGCGCGCACTGAATTGCAATGTTTCGTCCTGTTTACAACACAGCCAGTGGATGAACTTGTGCATCGATCTAGACCCGCCCACCACAGGATTCCACTTTGTTTTGTCAAACAACACCATCACGCTCATTGTATAGAAATGGAGATGCAAGGGAAGGCAGGGAGATTAACCAGATGCTTGTCCAGTTTGCTTCCCTGCACTGGGGAAAGGGAAAAGGGAGGGGGTAGAAGAAGAAAGGAGAGTGATACCCAGAATCACAAGCACATTTGGAGGAGCAAGTGCAGTCTACAGGCCGTCGCTCAGATTTGTTGATTTCAGGTACTTCAGTAGCGCATTTTGTGCTTTTGCACTATCGAAGTGCATGTCCAAGGTCCTAGAATCTTCTGCACAGAAAATAGAGTTTTAGTGGAAATTTACCTATGTGCAACGTTTACATATGTTGTGCTGAGCTTACTTTCAACAAGCAGGGATGCATACCACATCAACATACAATAGACAGCTGGAAGTTCTCACAGATTGCATACTACCCCTCTGACACTCGCTGAAATCGAGAGAATACTTACAGTAGCCAAAAACAGCATCTGGTCTTGGCAGAATACATTGCACATGTGGCATTCACTTTGGAAAATGAAAAAAAAAAACAGACAATCTGGATGGTTGGCATTCCCCCAGAGTGGTCCTAAAACAGTCTACCGAACGTCTTTCTCCTTTTCTCACTTTTGGTTTCCATGCCCATTCGCATTGTTTCTGTGGTAGATTGCAAAAGCTCGTGTCAATATATCACTGACAAAAGCTTCCGAAAGGGACACTCAAATATCACCGGCAAAACCTTCGCCGAATACAGTAGGCCACTAGCACATGGCTTGCCAGATGCCTTGCCAAAGCTTCAAGTGCTCTCCAGCAGAAAGAACCATGAGTTGCCGGGTTTCTGGGAGTGCTACGAGGCAGCCGTTCATATGCGTCTCAGGCTTGCAGACATCAAAACTTTTAAGGGCTTGAAGCCTCACTATGAAGCAGGCCATCGAAAGAACACGCCTGACTGAAAACTACAACGTCGTCATCAAGGTGCCCACCCAAGGGTATAGCCGAAATGATTTCAGCGATTACAGCCAGATATCGAAAGGTATTTTGAGATCCCCTTTCCAAATGGCCAGCAATCAGGCATGGCAACTATTGGCTGTATCTAGTGGAAGCAAGCAAACATACTGCGGCCCTGAAAAAATATTGAATCTACTGTGGGAAAACGTTGTCGTACTATGCACAAGTTGAGCAAGGAAGTGGGTGCTAGTCGGGGCTGCTCGTTATCATGCAATCAAAGAAAAAGTGGTGTTCTACCAGGGCAATGTGGGTGTCGGTTTCTTCTTTACTTCTACAGCAAAGTTGGCCTAAAACCAGCATTCAAGTGCTTTTTCAAACACATGCTTGGTCTCACAGTGCAGAGACTGGTGCTGCCAGTGTAGCTGACCATGAAATTCAAATTACTGCTGTACGCTTCCCATTATTCATAGCATTCTAACTAGCCTCACACATGCTGTAGGTGCACCTGAAAAAGGTCCATTATCTTTATACGCTGATGAGTCTATATGTAGAACACTCTCTACTATAAGCACGATAATAAGGCTTGATCTTTCATGTTTTCTTTTTTTTTTCCCGGCTTTTCTGCAAGAAAAGTTAACCATCAGTCAGTTTCTGTGCTTTTTTATGGTGTGGAGCCTTCTATGTAAAGGGTGTGGCATTATGGCCAATGTCTATTGCCAATGTTCATTTCACTTTTTCGACATCGCACGTAGTCACATCTTCTGCCGGCACATGTTGTATGCCTCCAAAGATACAAGCGTTTGCAATAATGTGGAATGAAAGGGGTGTTAAGACGTCTAAGGATGCGCATTGTCCGAACAAGCAAGATCACAGAAGAGATGCTAACTGGCGTAACTACATGCACATATGAAGTAGTTGTTTGACGAACTTATTTAAAGTCTTAAGTGAAGCAGCCAGGAATATTAAAGAAGGTTTTTAAAAGCTGTACGACTGAGATGGAATTTTCGTGCTGTTCCGTTCATCTATGTTCCGTTTGTGGAAGCTGCTATTTATCCCAGATAAATAGCGACTCACTTGGCTTTTGATCATGTACATGGTGCTTGACATAAGGGCTTAATGAGCAGAACCGTGATGCTTGTTAATGAATTCCTTACATTTTAGTGTTAAATGTTGGTTATTACATGGTGCCCTCTGTGTGTATGGTATGGGCAGTGCAATCAAAGGTACCATGTAGAAGTTTGTAGCAAAAACAAGGTTGCAATATTATTCAATCCTGTGACTAATGCCCTCTGCAGATGTCACTTGGGGTAGCTTATGTTTGCAATTGAAATTCGACTCCCATAACTGTGAAGGCACAAAATTTTATGCCTAAAATGTACAGCTTGCACCTTGTAAATCCTCTTTGCACAGCTTTGTAGCTATTATGTGCCTCATTTAATTCAGTCATTTCGACATAATAAAAAAGTACTAAAAAACATGGGCAATTATGGGAATAGAACTAGTGTTATTTCATAACTATTGAATCAGGATTGCCGTGCATCGCTCGAATGAACTGAGACAAAAAGATCGCCGGAGCGCTCAAACCGCATCAATATAGGAATCTCAGGGATCTCTTCTGGTCTCGAAGAGCACGTTTACGTGTGCACACCATCTTTGTGTGAAAGTGTCTGAATGTTCTTCATCTGTGTTGTTCACTCGTTTTGTGAAACATGTCATGCTAGGAGGTGTGATTTATGCAACATGTTATGGCATCGCCCTTCTGATGGGCAACCCTTCTTTTGCTTTTGACACACCGTGATAGCGTCATTCAAAGCCAGCTTTTATTTGTAGTCAGTTTTTTTTTTCTCTTTTTTTGCTTGTTTCTGTAAAGCTCGTTCACCCGAATTATATAGCTTTGAGTCTTATTGTGTGGTTTTTTGTCAAAAGTGGGTGTTCTTTGCACCAGGAAGCATAGCTACTAAACCTGAGATGGATAGGACAAGTGGTGGCACTCCTCTGACAGGCAGTACTCTAATGAGGCATACTCCTTCCACTCTAAAAGCCATGGAACTCACATTTCAATGGTCATTGCATTTGCGCTAGATTTCGGCCTAATCAGCACACTTTTGTGAACATTATTTTCATACGTGTGGGACACCACACATTTTCTTTTCCCTTTCTTGCCTCTAACATAAGTGGTAGTTCTGTCTCCTGCCCCTCATTGCACTGCTACAGCTACATTAGATTTTGCTGCACTTTTTTACAAGCTTTGAAGCCTGGCTTCCTCTGTTTGTTTTTCCTCATTTATGTTGTGAAAGTGTGGAGAGAGATGGCAGGTGTCATCTATGATAATAATATTGTTTCTATTTAAATGCGAGTTGTTTTTATATATTATGGAGAAAAAAAAAACTAAGTGTAACTTTATGTTGTTGCCCCCAGAGTGTACATTGTGCGGTCACAACAACACCTGCTGGCCGGAAGTGGCGTGTGCACCATAGAACCAATCCGTCCATTCAGGAGGAAAGGCCCGACTAATGGGGCGGAAGTGTGTTGGCTGATGTCTTTCTAGCAGTCGCAGTTTTTTTTATGCGACCTGTGTAAATAGTACTATATTATCGCTTGAGAGGGCCTCATTTGCCATGTGTGTTCGTGCGTTCTTTTTTCCTTGCCTATGTTATGACAGAGCTGTTCTCTCAGGCTATGTTACATACTTTGAATTTTTTATTTCATTAATCTTTAGCTGTATTTGCTGGAGAAACAAAGAGTGAAAAAAAAAAAAGTTGTGCTGTTGTGTACTGAAATGTCATGGCGGCAACAATGTTCCAACCCACCGTTTATTTATAGTGCAGTGTTTTTGGGAAGTTAGTTTCAGCAGTGCTCTTCCTGTTTGCTTGCATTGAATTTTTGACCTTTATGCGATATGATGTGTATGTGGTGCCTCATTCTGGCAGACATGTACGTGTGCTTTTTGATTAGGAGATGCATGACGAAACTGTTAACAATCCCAAGTTTTCTTGTTTCTCAGGATCAAGCCTTGTACATGTGCACTCTAACTTAGTAATGAGAGCTTCTACATACTGGTCTGATCAAATGGTCTCTATTCCTCTTTTTTTGTTTTCTGTTCTGTTAGAAGTGCAGTTCTGCCTGGTCCAGTACAGTGCTGTGAATGTTGGTGCTGGGCAAGCCATGTAAAATACAATGCAGGCCTTCTTTTATGGACAAAACTTTGTCCCTGTTTGATACAGCATTTGTGTACCTTTCTGTGTTCCTCTGGGAAAAAATAAATTTATTTTATTTTGTTTTATCATACTGCAGTGTTGAAGGGCTATTACAGGAGAGAAGGTAGTAAATAAGAAAATTGCAAAGTAGCGAAAAATGCATTGAACATGACATTCAATGATTAATGGATTACAAAACGAATTCAGCAAGTGATATCTGATGAGGCTGTGGAAAGTATTCTATAGTTCAACAGTGTGGACAAAAAAAGCTGTTGTATGCACAAGTTCAGTGATGAAAAGGAGACATATGATGCTCATTATGATTGCAGGTGAATGTTGTTTTAGCTGGTGTTATGTAGTTGCTTAGTAGGGAAAATTGTGGATAGTCAACCAGAGTATTGTAAATAAACTTCAGAGATTCAATGTGACGGTAAAAACAGAGACTAGTAAGTTGTGAAAACAAGAAAATAGGTGAAAAATACCTGTCACGGTGATGATATACGAATGGTATAGCTTTTTCTGGGCAGATTTGATTTTTTTATCAGATATTTTGGGAGGGTTCTAAGCGACAGAGTTTTACTCAAGTATTGGACGAGCCATAGTTTTATAAGTGAGGAGTCTTGTGTTGCTTGAGGCCAAAGTTAGTGTAGGCTGCAGGTATCATAGCCTTCTAAGCTCATGGTTGTACATGATCCCAATGCGATATCACCAAGATAGATCCTTAGTAAATACGAGATTTGGATACTGAGATACATTTTCTGGGGATGAACCATTAAATGAATAAGTAAAAGAATAAGGGAGAGAATGCTTAGTAAATTATGTGGAAGCAGTGTGTATCCTTACCAACTCACTCATATTTCAATTTTGCCTAATGCTATCTGAGATTGTTTAGTCAAAAACTAAAAATATGAAAACTACAGGGTAAATTTAAATAAATACAATTTTAATGAGTATGACATCTGTCGCCGCTACCTACTACAAAAAGAGTAGTAGTTTAGAACATGTCTAGTCCAGTCTGTTACGCATATTAAGGCTACAAGTGGAGATTATTACAATAGAAAAAGCACTATCTCATAATCGAGAGAGCATACTAATCGATGTGCTAACACAAAACCATTGTAATGACAAAAATTTTTGATTAATAAGGCAACTAATTTGGACACAATAGCCTGCATGAAGCCCACAGTAATGGCCTAATTGTTATGGTGCTTAGCTGCTGAAGACGAGGAGAGGGGTTTGATTCCCGGCCGCCATGCCCTGTTATTGATGGGGACAAAATGCAGATCCCATGTTTTTAGATATGTTATCACATCATAATATTTGCATGGAACATCTCGTATATGTTTTTACCCACATAGCAACCAATAAATAGTACTTTGTAAAGACAGAAACAATCTTGTTTCTATGCATTTACATAGCATTTGCACTTACCTTAAAATTTTTGTTCATTATTTTATTATCAGTATTGACAGCATTGCAACTGCAAGCACTTGTGGACAGATAGCTCTCAAGCATATCTGCTTAATTCTTATTGTTGTAAAACAAAATACAAAATAAAATTTTCAAACCAGCACTGCTTTGAAGGCTGGCAGCACCAACATTGCAGCTTCTGTTTTCACATTAATCCTTCTCATTTTTTTTTTCATTTTATTCATGCCTTTGGACCACCTTTCAGCAAACTGTGCAAAGTGTCCGATTTTAGCACGAATTATTTGATGGAATGAGTGCTCCTCAAATATGTTTTCTCATGATACCACCGTCTGCTATCATAATGTTATTAGCTTGTACAAATAAAGATGAAAAACAATTTTTGACGAGAAAACTCGTTGTCTTCTGTTATTATGTTCTTCCACCATACATTTGCTGGTCAATGTTTCCTACTTTTAAAGCTGGAAGAGCCCTTGAATCATGTTGCGCTGCATTGGGCCCTTTGCCCCGGTCTCTATTAGAGCACGTGAGGGCCTTTTTTCCAGGCCCGGGCCCAGCCCGAAAATGCCATGCTTCGGCCCGAACCCGGCCCAGTGTTTTTAAACACGGCCTGTACCTGGTTCAGGCCCGAACAGTTTGCGCCCGACCCGGCCCGGCCTGTTTCAGCCAGTCATGCCTTGAGCACAAATGAGGCACTGTCCGATCTTTGGTGACTGCTAATATACCGGCCGCAAACAAGATATAATTTCTAGAGTGTTTTGAGAACTGCTTTCAGTGTCGTGACTTTCAATGGTACCGTGTATACTTTCGGTTAATTACGCCCGTAACCTTTTTGCGAAATAATTGCAAGGCAATATAAACTATTACTGGAGTCCTACCTGGCTGTCTCACAGACTCTGCGCTAACCACGCAGTCTTACTTTTGCATGTCAAAGACCGACTGCAAAATGTGGGAAAAATGGCGAAATTTTAATGTGTTTGTATATAAATTACATACGAGCTGGGGCTGTTGAGTAAAAGTATCGTCTTTCGCAAACACGCTCTAGCAGCTCCGAGGAATACACCAGGCTGCGCAGCTTTACATAAATAAAAGCTGTCGTGTCGACTCCTCGGCAGGCAACTGTCCTCAACGTATATGACGCCTTCGCGCTCAAAACAAGAAGGTTCTCTGACCTACCCTTCTTCCCGAGCTCACTGGATTACGTGCCCAACGGTTGGGCCGCCCGCGATCTCCGATACGCACTCGCCGATCGGCCCGCCGTCTGCGATCTCCTGACTCTCGCCGAGTGGTGCCCCGTCCTCGGACTCCTTCGATCGCGTCCCCAATTTTCCCTATCTCTTTTGTCCTCTTTCTTCATTCGTGTGCGGCGAGTGATCCGTCTTCTATATATTCTCTTTATCCCCTTATCCCATCCCCTACAAGGCGCTTAGCCGTGTCGCCCACGAGGCAGACAAATTAGGAGCCCTTCTTTTTCTTCCCTCAAGAATCTCTACCTCCGCCACAACCGTGCATCCAGACTCGCTCGCTGGATTTCGTGCCCACGGGTTGTGCCCCGCGACGATCTCCGACGACAGCGCAGCTCTGGCCGATAGGCTCGCCCTCCGCCATCTCCTACACCGTGAAGCTCTCGCTGAGTGGTGCCCCGTCCTCGGACTCCTGCGACCGTGTCCACCTTTCCTATCTTCTCCTTACTTCTGTATGTGGGTCTCTCTGTCCCTGCCCCTATTTCTATCCCTTTTATTCCTCCATATCCCTTTTAATCCCTCTTTAACCCCATCCCTCGTGAGCTACTGTTGAGATGTCGCACTAAGATGCAGACAGTTACGGGGCTCACTTTTATCTTCTTTTCTCTGTTTAAGAAGAATCACTTATATATACCACCGTGTAATATAGATATGTCAAAGCGAGCCAACCCGTAGCGAGCGAGCCCCCGTTCCCACTGTTCCCTGAAGATGCCTATCTCGCCGTCTTCGTGTAACAGCATTCGATGTTTGAAAGTGTTACGTTTTAAAGTAAGAACGGACTAAAAGGGCTTCCAAAACAGCTCTTTCCTTGAGCGCCGAAGTGAACCAGCTGGCGGCTTCTTCAGCGCTCTCCAACCAAACGCACAAGTGTCCGGATTGCGATCCCCCACGGGGACCGAAAGCACGATAGCGGGTTGCCTAGTCGCCGATGACCAAATGCCTCGGTGCAAATATGGGTGGGAAGCCTGGATGTATGTGGCTCGCGGTTGTGGTTGCAGCTTGCAGCTTGCGGGAGCGACAGTGGAGGAGAATGAAATATACAATGTGCCATAAAGGAAAAAGCGGCGACTGTGGTAGGGAAGAAAATGTGGAAGGCAGAAAAGAAGCCAACTGTCAACAGGGCTAGCGCCCGTGTGGAAGGTCACTTCACGTGGATCAGGAACATTCTATTGCTTCAATAGGATTCATTTCGTAAAGCGTTAGCTTTTCAGTCGGCAAGATAAGTTGAATAGTCGGTTGGCGCATCTTATCGTTCACGGCGTAATTTTTGTCAACAGGGCCTCATCAAATGCGAGGCCCACTGGTGACGGCTTTATGCTCTTTCATAGTGAGTACCAATAGTATATATAGTACTCTAAATCGTTACCCACTTTTTATAAACATACAGTCCAAACAACAGCGCCAAACATAGTACACACGCCATTATACCGACATGTATGAGACTCGGGCCCAATATGGGCCTGACTCAGGCCCGAGCCCGGTCCAACAATGCATGACCCGGCCTGGTGTTCCCTAGCCTGGCTTTTCGGGCCAGCCCGGGCCCGTGCAGTGAACTTTCTATACTTCAATTGGCTGCGGTGATCAGGTCTCAATGCGGAGGTGGAGTGGGCGGCGCTGGCAGACATCTCCCCTCACTGGCCATCAAGCAGTGACGCATTGCCAGGGCGTGCCACACCGAGCCCGTGCCCTTCCCAATTTTTTTTCGCCATGGCACACAGTGCACGGACCCTACTTCGCATGAAAGAATGCCCCCCCCCCCCCCCAAAAAAAAAAAAAAACTGCCTACGCACTTGCCCTCAAGGGCCATTGATTGATTTGATTTGTGGTGTTTAACGTCCCAAAACCACCATTTGATTATGAGAGACGCCGTAGTAGAGGGCTCAGGAAATTTTGACTACCTGGGGTTCTTTAACGTGCACCCAAATCTGAGTACACGGGCCTACAACATTGGCGCCTCCATCGAAAATGCAGCCGCCACAGCCGGGATTTCATCCCGCGACGTGCGGGTCAGCAGCCGAGTATTTTAGCTACTAGACCACCGTGGCGGGGCACCCTCAAGGGCCAAACACAGTCAAAACATTCCGTAAGCTCAACATGTCTTTTCGCACCCCCCTCCCCTCCAGCCGATGGTATTCGCTAGAGTTAGTGTATGAGCTAGAGTGCCTTTGACGTCCTTCTCGCCCAGCTCTCCGAGAGGCGGGCGAGGAGGACATCGAGGCACTCTAGTATGTATCTCCATGAGAAACCAGATAGAGTTGCAGTTGCAATACAAGTTTGTGAGGTGAAGCCATCCCACGTTCAGGGCGCTGCGTTCAAGCGTGACCTTTAGACAGTTGTAGTTATTGCTGCATTTGGGACGTCCCAATATCTTCGCAAAAAAAAAAAAGGCATTAACGTACGCTTGGCTTATATGAGCCATATACAGTAATTGTAGAATTAATTTGCCATGGGTGCCTTTTAGGAGAAAAATACTGGCGCCACCCCAGAATCAAATGCCTTGCAATTTTCAGCAACATGGTTCGTATGATTCACGGCTTTTGACAGCTCTTCATCGATAATATAAAGTATAATTTACCCCCCCCCCCCCCCCCATCGGCATTCCCTCATTCCTTTTTTTTTATCGAACATCTGAAGAAGTTTTAAAAGTTTTGTCTTTATAAGTGTTTTGTCTTGTGCACAAAATCCTCGTTCGGTCCCCACCTCAGTCTGTCAAGTAAACTATATCCGTTGCGTTGCTGTTAAGCAGAAAGTTGCGGGTTCGCTGCCTGACAGCGATGGTCGCTTCTCGATATGAGCGTAAAGAAAAATAAGCGCACGTAGAGTACACTTGTATGTGCTTTAATGAGAAGCAGCTGATAAGCCACAATTACCCATGACGGTGTTCCGCGTTACCCAGTAGTTGTACGTGTGCGTTGCAAGTTTATTCACCCCAACTAGTTTCGATTCATTTGTCTTTAGCAACCACTGGTCATTCGCACGTGAAAATGATGCCGAAAGCTGGTGGAAAGCGTGGTGCCTCACGCATTTTGTTAGCATTGGTTGTTCAGCGGTTCCGTCGAGGATCGAACTGTTTTCCGACTGCAGATGCTAGCAGACGATTGTCGGCCGCGCCACCTATTTGAGAAACGCGAAGTGTAGAAACTGCCTTCATGATTTTGCGCGCATTTTTATGCGCAAAAGCACGGAGGCCATGCATTGAGTCATGTCGTTTCTTTGCTGATCTATGGGTGGCGCGACGTCCAGCTACGGGGTTAGTGTATGGGTGTTCTGTGGTAAAACTCTTATCTGGGCGCGTAAAAGCGCGAACGCTTGAATTCTGCCCTTTTACAACTACTTCGGAAATCGCTTCACGTTTCTTTTAGCTGTTTCTTATCTCCCGAGCTATCGCGATAACAGGAAAATGGAGGTTAGAGAAGTTTGACGTGGCCTGTACTACTTTTACAGCGAAAGCTGTTATGAGATCAGAACACGAATCACGTGCGGCGCCGTAGTTGTCAGCCGTTGTCGCCGCCGCTAGCCGTAACCACAATTGCGAGAAATAAGAAACAAAACATCAAGGACAGAATGGGATTCAAACCCGGGTCCACTGCGTGCCAGCTCAGTATTCTTCTACTGAACCACGCCGGTGCTGGGACTCGTTTCTATACTGGCCTTAAGAAGGATCGGTGTCGGGAAGGGAATCGCGTTAATACATATGAGTAATAAAGCATTTTATTACATCAAAGGAACAACCAGGTGTCACACAATGAGAATTGCGTGACGAGTGGGTCGTCAAATGCTCTATAACCCATTAAAAACTTGTTCTTGATCACCCATTAACAATGGTGCATACCTACTGGCACATATTATTATCAACCTTCGAATTAGGCGTTACAGCGGCAGATATACTTAGTAAAGTGAATGGGAGTATGACCGTCACTGTAGCTGAAAATCGGTTCACAGCATATACGCATATAGTTTGCTCGAAACAGCAAGAACGTGCTATTGCTCCGCCGCGATGGTCTAGTGGCTAAGGTGCTCGGCTGCTGACCCGCAGGTCGCGGGATCGAATCCTTGCTGCAGCGGCTGCATTTCCGGTGGAGGTGGAAATGCTGTAGGCCAGTGTGCTCAGAATTGGGCGCACATTACAGATCACCAGGTGGTGGTCGAA